CAACCCCCCCCCACACACACACCTCCCCACACTTGAAAAAACGGGTTTACCGTACTAGTTTGTGACTTTTCTGTGATGGTTCTGTGAAGGTGGACTGGTTGTCTGATGTATGTGTGATTCTTTCTGATGGATGGTTGCAGTGTCAACAAGTGGCTCCACAGCCACAACAGCGCTGACTAAGGTTGAGGCGAAGACAAGGACACTGATTGCAGGTGGACAGGAGAGCTACTGGCGTACCACATTCAATTTCCAGCCTTCCGAGAAACTTAGAAAAACTTTCAACTGCTATCTCTCCACAGCAACTGGACCGGTGGCAGGTGTGCTCTATCTGTCAGACAATTTCTTAGCCTTCTGCAGTGACAAACCGTTGCCGTATTCTCCAGGTCAGGGCCAAGAGGCCTGGACATATTACAGGGTAAGTGTTTTTCCCCCATGAGCTATTGATTGGTTTGTGAAGGGTATGTTGTGTTGGCCAATGCAAAAATAATCAGCCAGTTATACTTTTTTCGTGCTTCTTCAAGCAATCATGTACCCTTCTTCCCTTGCAGTTTTTCCTGTGGATAGGAAGGGGATGGGGAGAGATTGGAAGTACAAAAACGTGCTGTTGATAGATGCCAGACGGGGACAATGCGACTCAAACCATTTTGGCAACGATCGAACAATTACCACAATCTTCCACTGAACAGAATGCACCCCTATCATGAGTGTATAGTAGTATACAAGTTACCTTTTCTGAGTCCACCTCCACCTTCTGCTGAACACAATGCAGCCCAATCATGACTGTATACAAGCTATCTTTCCTCGAGCATTAAGGGCATACCCACACTTGAGAACTTTCTCTACTAAGAACTTTCTCTACTAAGCTCTACACATGGTTCAGGTCTATTCTTCGTCTCAGTCTGTGCCTCACGTTCTTATCATAATTTTTCGGAGGTGCTTCTATCTAAAAAAAAAGAAAAAAAAAGAAAAAAAATGCTCTACACATGATGGAGGTCAAATTCATCCAGGTCAGGCTGTAACTGCAGTCAAATACATTTAGGAAAGTGCTAGTGTGACGTGCGCCTCAATACATTCATGACGAGATTGTGTTGTGTTCGGGGGAAGACGGTAGTGTTTTTAACAGATGCCAGAGGCCTCCTCAGATCCTCATGCGGAAGTCCCAGAATCTTTGATAGGGTACCGTCACTCTTTCCCCAAACCAAATTCCCCATTTCCAAGGCAAGAGTGCTGGAGCCAAGGGCCAAGGGATACACGTGATGACAGCAAAACAGTTGCATATCTTTTCATCTTTGTCTTTTGTCCACTGAATCCCAACTCACCTGAACGCGCTGCTATGTACTTGTATTCAAGAACGAGTGTGGTGAGGCCTCTGGGGCGAGGAAATTGAGAGGCGACTCGAACCTTCGCGACCCAAAAAATAAAAACAACGGCCGTGCATCGTGTGCGAGCGCAAACCCCACCGGCCCTGCGGTGCCACCACGGTACCGCCCCCACACTGTTTCTCTTGGGCCCGGCCGTGGGGCATGACATGGGGCCGCTATTCTCTTTAGGAGTATAGAGAAGATATCCAAAGGCTAACTGAATTGCGATGAACCTCAAAGTTCATCACACCAAGGAGTGCTCACATCAGCATGCATGTCACACAGATTGCATCGGCACATATTGCACAGGTAGATGATGAGTAGTAGACCAGGAAGCGAAGCTCAAATTTCACAACCACATTATATCGAGAGAATCAAGAGTTCAATTATCCAGCGCTCAACAAGATTACAAGTCTTCTTCGAACAGCAAGAGTCTGGAACCCAGCGCACATCAGTGCTTGCACTTAGTATCAATATCAGCGCCGGACAAGGTAAGTTTCCACCATAGCTTTCTATACCTCTGTCTCTCACTTGTCTTAGTGTCCCTGATCTAAACTCTACGCTAGTCTTTTCTCTTCACACACATGCACACTCCCTACTACAGCACACACATGAGGATCAACTCTGAATACATCTCACTGATCTACTTCTACTAGCATACTAACTCTACTACTAACTGGCAGTGGTGCAGCTATGGCTGCCTTCTTCCCCGCCAGCGCCTACTTCCTCTCTCTCAGCTCACTTGCGCAGCTCTCTGGCATAGCGCAGCTCTCCCACACTAGCGCACAAGTGCACAAGCACTTCCACACTCTCATGCGAATGAGCATCTGCCCAACTAGGAGGCTGGCCAGTCTTTTGTAGTCTTGGACTGGTCTGGCTGGGCCAGCCACTGGCCGAGTTGCCGGGTACTGCATGCCCACTGCCTGTTTGTTGCGAAGTGTGAGTCCCAGTACCTTTCCCATGGTCTGCTGCTGCTTTGGCTTTCGGGGCAGCCTTTTCGACTTCTGGTCTGACTCCAGACACGACCTCTGGACTGGGACTTGACTGGGCCTGCGACTTTTGACTATCTGCTGAACTGATGTGACCCTTACTCAGCCTCAAATTTGACTGTTCGTTTAGGACCTGGATGTGACTTTTGCAAAATGACTTTTCATTTTAGTTTGGACGCGACAGCTGACTCTGAGGAACTCGTCTTTTTGAAATGCTGATTCGTAACTCCAGGATCTGGCCGTCTGAGTCGCTTTTGAACTTGGGGTCTGAATTCGGGGTCTGAATTCTGGAAGCCCTTTCAGAATCATGGTTCGACTGTCAAAAGTACTTAGTTGTTTATCCAACAAGGCAACCCACCGCGGCTTTTGGAGCAGAGGGGGTGCAGAGAGGAAATCAAAGAGCATGTCAGTGTATAGAGAGGGGGGGAAAGACACAGAAAACAGCAATTTCATTTTAACATTTCACAATGGGCAGAACAGGAAAGGGGGGGGCGGGGGGGGGAGTTGGCAAGGTAACAAACGTGCTGTTGACAATGCATCACTTGTTGCAAATGGCTGTCAAAATATGTAGCCAAAGAAATGAGAAAAAAAGTAGATGTCTGAACTCTCTCTCCGAACGTCAAGGGAGTCATTCTTCCCTCCTCTCCTTCCGCATCATTGTTCTCCCCTCCCTTCCATGTCGTCCTCCTTTTTCCAACCCGGTCGACTCCCTTCTTCTGTCCCTTTCACTTCATCCCTGTCCACCCTCCTTCCCTTGCTCGATCGCCATGCTCACGATTGTCATCATCGTCTCATCAACCCTCCTCCATGTCATCATCCCTCTCCTTCCACGTAATCCTTCCCTCTTCCCTTTCCATGTCATTTCATCTCTCCCCTTCCACATCGTAGCCATCCTTCCTTTCTTCCCTTCCACATCATGTGTCCTCTCTCCTTCCCACGTGAGTCCTCCCTTTCCACCCCATTCAGATATTCCCTGCTGCCATCTCCCCTTCTACGTCGTTCTTTCGCCATCGATTCGATGTCATCCTCCCCAACAGTCCGGAACAAAATTAAACAGCTCTTCTTGCCACATTAATTGTCGCCGCCCCCTCCGTTCCACGTCATGCTCTTTTTTGTGCTGTGCTCGTCGTTTCCACTTCGATGTCATCCCTTCCCCCCACGTCATCGTGCCTTCCTCCCCTTCCATGTCATCCTGCCCTCCCCCCTTCCACGTCATTCTCCCTGTCCATCCTCGTCCTCCTTCTCTATCACCATCCTTGGGATTATGGCCTTCGTCTTCCTTGTTGCCGGAACTGTCGTTGTCGTTCGCCCTTGCACGCCATTATCCCTCCCCATCGTCCTCTCCCCTTCCACGTCATCATCTCCCCCAACACCTGATCCTTCCTCCCCTCCCTTCCACATCATCCTCCCTTTTCCACCCCGGCCGTCGTCCTCTGTTTCACGCCACTGTTCTTGTCCTTCCACGTCATCATCTGTCCGCGTCCAAATCCATCCTTCCTTCCTCGCCTACCACGTCATCCTTTTTTGTTTCACAATAGTCCCTTTTCCACCCTTGTCGTCAGTCCACATTCCACGTCATCGTCTCTCGCCTTCCACGTCATCATCCCTACCCTTTCGCCTCATCCTTTCTTCCTGGGTTGTTCTCCCTTAGAGAGATCCCTACCCTTTCGCCTCATCCTTTCTTCCTGGGTTGTTCTCCCTTAGAGATAGATAGATAGATAGATAGATAGAGAGAGAGAGAGAGAGAGAGAGAGAGAGAGAGAGAGAGAGAGAGAGAGAGAGAG